AAAAAAAAAAAAAAAAAGTCAGAAGTTCGAGACCAGCTGGGGCAACATAGACTCCGTTTTCTACAACAACAACAAAAAAAGTTAAAACCTCAAATACCAGAATGATCATGGCAGATTCAAGGTAGGGAAGGAAATGGTAGCTTTCTGGAGTTTTTTTTCTCCTGAAGGTAAACAACTTTTTTTAATTTTCATGTTATTTAAAATAGTACACAAGAATATATTGTGCAAAATTTAGGAGCAACAGCATGAAGTGTTATGAACTGAAATCAGTTTTATAGCTGTGATTCATAACCAGTAACACTACTTAGTAAATAACATGAAAAGCCCTAATTAGCTCAGAGCAAAAGCAGCTGTATTGCCAGTGTATTTGCTCTAATTTTAGACAGTTGGATGAAAAGTGCAGTGTTGCATTCCAATTAAGTGCAAAGTCTGCCCCACCCATAGAGATGTGACAACAAAATATAAAAGATTCCCTCTCTTGATAGCACCATTATAGTGATCATATTCCAAAACCATTATTTAAGAACTGTATCTTGGCCTGGGCTACTGTGTTTTCCCGAAAATAAGACACTATCTTATGTTTATTTTTTCTCAAGAAGACACATTAGGGCTTATTTTCAGGGGAAGTCTTATTTTTATTAAGTATAGTACAACAATCTACATTTATTCAAATACAGTTAAGTCATCTTCTGGAACCTGACAGGGAGAGCTGACCTTGTTGGTGGGGCTGGCGCCAGTGATGCGTGAACTCCTTTCCCCTAGCCATTCCCACGTGCGCAGTGGGATGCCTGTGACCGTGGTTACCACATGCACTTCTGCGCAAGTGCCAATGGCTCAGAGAAAGGAGATGTGGCAGATAAAAGGTATTCCCATCTTCCTTACTGCTCCACTGAAATGCATGGCATGGCTATGCAACATCATATGCCCATCACTAGGTCTTATTATCAGGGTAGGGCTTATATTTAACAAATGCATAGAAATCCTGCTAGGGCTTATTTTTTGGGTAGGTCTCCTTGAGAAATAATGGATGGCTGCTGCCACCTGGTGCATAAACTCAGTATGCCATGGGAACTGCAGCAGGTGGCTCTTCCACTGGGACACTGACATCAGCCACTTGCTGCATGTTCTGATAGCCACTTGGCACTGGCCATACTAGAAGTGCCTGTGTTTGGCACAGATGCTGAGCTATGTGGTAGTAGCTTGAGGAAAGGCCAGCTCCCAGCTTTTCTGCTTCATTCCATCAAGTGTACAATACAGATTAATAAGTAAGAAGCTGATGAATTAAGAGCAGATACATATTTTTAAATTCCCCTTCATACAACTTAAAACTCCTCTCTTTCTACCATACTTAAGTACTATAGATACCATTTTTTAAACCTGTTTTACCTGATAGACATATGTGAAGTTTGGAAGAAGAATAAGGCAATTTGGTTTACAATGTTGATAGTTTTAGCCCTATTAGCCCTCTGATGGAGAAAGCAAATCCTCACCCATATTATCAAATCATTTCAAGACTTAGTGCTGTTAGTATCTTATGGCACATGAATTCAGGACAAATGGTGAGACCTTGATCTTAAGTCTTTCCATCAACAGCCAATGTTTATGCAAGTATGGACTGAAGAAAATAAGCACCTGGACCCGGTGGGGTGGCTCACACCTGTAATCATGGCACTCTGGGAGGCTGAGGCAGGTGGATTGCTTGAGCTGAGAACTTCGAGCCAGCCTGAGCAAGAGTGAGACACCA